TTTTAAAGGAACACCCTTCGACCCTGAAATTGGAGCACACGCGGTAAAGTTCGTGCAACTTGAATCTTCTCTCTTTTTCTTTCTTTCTTTCTTTCTTTCTTTCATTCTTTCTTCCTTTCTCCCCTTATTATTTTCGAACAAGATATCCTGTGGAAAATCATTCACCGACGACCTGCTGCTAGTTCGTTCGTTCGTTCGTTCGTTCACGGAAGAAGAAGCAAATTCACTTCTATTACGAATTTCCGCTCGATTAAATGTCCGATTTAAACTAGCAATGTTAAGAAATAGTGGAATCGAAAGTCCTCATTCTCACTGGTAGATAGATCGTCGGTGGCATCGTTCGAGAAAGTCACGCTGATATATTCTAAAGGAAATTACATATTTATTTATTTTTTTTTATTATTATACTTTCATCTCTCATCGTTATTTTTACTTTTTTTCTTTTTTTTGGTTGTAATCTGCACTTCTTTTTCAAAAAATCCAACAATCGATACGATCGTTCTTTTCTATTTATGTGTGTGTGTGTGTGTGTGTGTGTGTGTGTGTTTTCTTTTTCTTTTTATTTCTATCGTAAAGATATAATTTGTTGATATAGGTGTAGTACGCACGCTTGTTTGCGTTAGCACATTTGCGTATCGCGATGAAACTGGCGCTGGCGCTGACGATAAATTATGCAAATTTAACGCGACACGTGCTTCTACATGGTTTCTGAATAAGAAGGTTGTGCGAGAGCAAGCAACAGTAAAACAATGTCGATCGATTGGTAATAGAAAAGAAAGAAAGAGAAAGAGAGAGAGAAAGAGAGATTTTCTATTCTTTACCTAGTTTATTTCCAACTGTTATCGCAACTTCGATAATTTATTTAATATCTTTTTAGCATCGAATTCCTTCCTTATTCTTTCTCTTCATCATCGATTCTTCGTCGTTTTACTTGCGAAAGAGTAGTAGTCTCTCTCGATGCTGTTGCTTGCTTGCTTGCTCGTCTCGCAATTTTTATTCTTCCTTTTTAACCGTACCGAACTACTACAACACGTTCTACCTCAGTTGTTACAGGCATCCGTTAGAAAGTAAAGAAACCTATGGATTTCTTCCTTAGAATTGTACCTCTTAGATTTATGATATGCTCCTTTGGTTACTAGCAAAAACTTCTAATCTCCCTGGTTGAACAAAATCAAGCGTTTATCCAGGCTGGTTCTATGCAGTTCTCGTTCTTGTAATTATACGAATCGAATTATAATGCAAAGAACTTTGCAATCGTAGAAACGGATGGACAAACACGTTGATTATTGGACAAGCTATTTTTATTATTTGTTAAAGAAAAAAAACAAAACAAAGAAAAAAGCTTAAGAATCAACTTTCTCACGCAATTTGTTCTTTCTTTGTTTTTTTTTTCGTAATAAAAATTATACGACAATGTCGAATTTTTTTTTTCTTCGAAGATCAATTAAGATTTATGATAAAGAATATTTTACATTTAAACCGAAACAAAGATGACCATTATTTTTACGTTCAATAATATTAATAAATAAATAAAATCTATTAAAAAAAGACATGTGTCTTGAGTAGACACATTTCAAGGATACGATAAAAATAGTGTTAAAAAAAAAACGGAAAAAAAGAACGAACGAGACAGAAATTTGTTGATGGCGAGCCGAAGGTGCGACCAAGTGTAAAATCTAAGGTCAATCGGGGCTCACCCGTTAGAAGTGAAAGGGTTGGCTAGCATTAATCGTATCTGCGGGGTGAAAAGGCAGGTACAGGCGGCGGTAAGTAAAACCAGCACGGCTATACTAATGGGCTCAGCTCACCTGCTTTCCTTTTACTGTATCTTGACCTGCGCGGTAAAACGATGGTATTTAGGTACTCCACTTTTGCTACGAAATTAAAACGATCCTAATAAGATATATTTGAACGTTTATGGTCATTCGGTACGTTGTTGCTAATCTAACCGGAAACTGCATATGACATATTTCTCGGAAGCCTCTTAGAATTTTCTTCATTATTTTGAAGTAACAACGATGGCGGAATAAGTCAGATTAAATTTTAACGATAATTTTTCGAGCTACCCACGTTTATCAGTAATATGATTCATTATTTGTGTATTCGAATGGCATAGGTGTCAAACAAAGTCGTAATTCTAGTATCCAAGGAATAAGATTACTGTTAACCAATCCACTTAAATATATCTTCTTATCAAGATACTTTCCACGAGGGATTATAAATCAACTCGAGGCTTCTCGTTCGCTACGTTTAAATCAATCATGCAGAAATCGATATTATGCATCTCTGCGTATCTACTCGATTATAATTTATAAACAAAATTTGCGATATAAATATATCTAAACAAATACGATTAGAAAAATATCTACAAACAAAAATACAACGAATTTTTAACGCGAATTATTATACACGCGTTTAATTAAATCATTCCATAATTCTGAAAAAAAAAAGAATAAAAAAAAAATCGAAGAGTCTCGACGACAAGTTTAATAGCAAAATAGCAAAACGTCGAGATACATGACATTAAGAATGGTTGGTAATATAACGATAGGTGTCAGGGCTACTATGTAAGTACGTAAGTAAGCAACATCGATACTTCAAAAAGACAAGTAAAAGAAAATATAAGAAAAAAGATAAGGAACATGTACAAATAAGAAAAAAGATGTGTCTCCCTCTCTCTCTCTCTCTTTCTCTCTCCCTGTCGAGGCGAGAACCAACGTGGTGGTTCTCACCTCGTCGTCGAGAGACATTTCCCGCTTGTCGCCTCGTTTTCATGTCCAGCTTTACCTCTTACATACCCTCCACTAGCCGCTGGATAACCGCATAAAAGTATCCCGTTACCACGGTAGCCCAGATACCGGATTACGGAGCACGAATTGTCAATCGTGTGCGACGAACGAGACGAGACTTTAAAAGGCCTTTCAAAGGTTGCAAGATATGAACAAAGAAAAAAAAGAGAGAGACAGAGAGAGAGAGAAAATAAACGATTACAATCGGATTAACATATCGATTTTAAACACCTTTTCTTTTTTTTTGGAAAATAAACAGAATTTGTAATTTTTGAAAGGGAAGGTTTCCTAAAAATCATTAACGAGATGAGGGGATATCCGAAAGATCTTACTTGTTAAAATGAATTACAATAGGATTAAAATATCGATCTTGAATTGTTTTGTAAAATTCCAACGGAATTTGTGAAAGGGAAGGTTTCTTAAAAACATTGACGAGATGAGGGCTCGAGAGATGATCTTACTATCGTTGAAACGCTATGATATTTAAATGTCAAAGTAGCAGGATCGTCTTCTAAGGGTTAAAGTACGCTTTCAATGGATAAAATTAAAGTCGAAGAAATATCGTTCGAGATTTGAAGATTATGATCAGCCGATGTGGACTCTTATTCTGATTATATTATGTAGTTTTTATCTCTTTCTCTCTCTCTTTTACATGTATGACATAATTAGAAGTTTATTGACTTATTGAAGACTTTGAGTTGGTTATAATCTTGGTACGCAAATAGAAAAACGATTAATCGATAATTAATATGTATTAAATCTAATCTATCGAATTATTGGAAAATCTGTGATATCGGTAACAATAATAGAATTCAAAGAGATGTTGTGTTAGAGGAGTCGATAAAACTCTATTATGTCGTAATAACAGGATCGAATGAATCACGGGGTCGGTAATGTCAGGATCGGTAAATCGGTGAATCGGTGAACGGATAGTTAGCTTACATACGATTTTCCCCATTTTTTCTCTTTCTCTTTTAGCCTATCAAAATTGTACTGTGTATTATATCTGAATCTATTTATCGAATAACTTTAAATGTCATTTTTATAATCTGAAATAATTCATGTTTCTTTTTCTTATTTTGTAATCTAAATAATAAATAATAGGTCGTTAAGAAAATAATTATTCATCGAATCCAGAGACGCTCGTACAAGGGGTTGGTCGAAAAGTTTTGAGTGTCAACGCGTAAAAAGGAACATTTATTTTTCTACCAAAATAAAATTGAGTTTGAGAAAACAAAAAATTGTTTCTATATTGGACTTAACAAAAATTTGTCAACTCATTATCTTATTAAAAATTCATCTAGAAATGTCTGTAAGATATTCATTTACACACGAGATCCTTCTCGAAATGGAAGGGATCGACGAACTCGATGGCATTTCGGCCTTTCGAATCCTCATTATGTCAAAGAATGTTAAGCGTTCTCCAAAGTGATATAGTAGGTACACCATTTCTTTTTGAAACGAATATACAAACCTCGGCTATCGTATTCTCTCGTTGCGGTTATCAATCAGGATATCCGCGTGCGGTTAGAAATTAATTGTGCTCAGATAAAGCGAAAGTACATAGATCAAATAAAATAACAGGCAGTTGGAAGATTAGGTTAATAAACCGCAACGAGATTGAATAACAAAATTGTGCTCCTCGATATACGCGAGACATTCGGTTGATGATGCTGATGCTGATGCTTATCATGATAATGATGTTTTTATTCGTCTAACGCATTTTTCTAAAAAATTCTCTTCCCATTACCTATCCATTCAAAACATTCATTCTGACTTGACCTATTTGACATAAATAAATCAAAGAGAAAGTAAACAAGCGTTAAATACAGCTTCGCCGAGCTAATCGTTTTTTCATCTGCGACATCTACTTTTTGTCTCGACGAACAAATTACTGGAAATGTACAAAAAAAAAAACATAAAATGCACGCCGAGTGAAAGCAGCTCGTACTCGTCCTCTATTTCTATCTCTATCTTTCTCTATCTCTCTCTCCCGTACATATATACGTGTTTAAACACACGCGTATATATAGGAGACACATATACGCATACTCCAATTGATCTCACTTGAATAGCCGGAGCGTTATATCGACCGAATATTTCGGATTGAGAATCCCATAGAGAAACTCCTAGAATACCCGATAAATACAAAATTCTTCGCATTGAGAGAAAACATAACTGAAAAGGAAAAGAAAATAAACGGAAACTCACCCCTAATTTTGGTTTCCTGTCGATCGAGGGACGTTATGCGTGGGTGGTTCTGCTGTCCCGGCTTCTTCAGCAGAACACCCACCACCTGTGGCGCCATCATCATCTCCACCACCTTTTCTTCCTTCTCCTATTCTTTCTTGATAAACTTTTCACTGATCTTCTTCCTCTCCCTCCTCCCAACCCAACCCACACAACACGATAAACAATAAATGATATTCAGTCAATAGTCAACATCGTTTTTCTCGTCGCTGCACGCGATACGAAAAAAAAAAAAAAAAGAAAACCAATAGAGGCGAAATAGAATCACGCGTTTATTAAATTAAAGAATTTTATGACACACACATGAGTCACAATTATCGTCGATTTCGAATCGCTTGTTCAAACAACAACAACAATAACAACATCAGCAAAATTTCATGCGAATTTAGTTCTCCCAATCATTCGATTTCTTCCCCTTTCCTCCTTCCCTTTCGACCACTTCTTTTTCTTCTTTCTTCGTCTAAATAACAGAGCACATGTAAAGAACGAAAAGAGAGAGAGAGAGAGAGAGAGAAAAAGGGGGAGAAGGTGGCGACGTTCTTTATTGGTCGAGGCGCCGACAATTCGATGATCGAAAAGGCACCGTCGTTCACTTTTGCAACAGTGTGTCGCGTCTCCTATTTATTATATTATATTATATTATTCAAGAGAGACAAACTCTCCCGCAATAATAATATGTCGGTTTCTTTTACACTTCGACTTCGATGACGATGATCACCATCATCATCGTTATTATTATTATTATTATTATTATTCTATATTATTAACGTTCTCTTCGCGGTTCTTCAAGAAAACTAATTTACGTTCGCTTTCTTCCACGAAATTTAACAATAACAGTTTACCAGTTTTTCGAAATTTCCCTTGATCGGTCGTTTACAACATTCATTCTATTGTTGTTTTGCTAAGATAAGAAAAGCGAATTTCTTCTGTCATTATTTATTTATAATCTTCTTTCTTTCTCTCTCTCTCTCTCTATATATACACATATATTCTATTCTTTCTCTCTTTCTTGTTGAGATACAATTTATGTTTCGAAGCTTGGGGATGCATAAAAAAAAACGTTCGCTACTGTTTACACAGGTGATCCAAATGCACTACTATTTAGCTTTCTACTAACACATATATACATACATATGAATATATACATATACATACATATAATATTCTATCAAATAGTTAATTTAACGAGAGAGAAACGTTTAACACTCCATCCATTATCCCCACCATAATAACACCACGAGAATAACGAAAGTTTTTCTTGCACGAATCCCGTTGACACGTTTCGAACTTTTAATCGAAATACAAAAACCGTTTAATATCGCGTGGTATAGAAATAATAATATACAAATACACCGTACACCCTACCCGGCGCACGTCCGGCGAACGACTGATTCTGACTGACAAACGCTCGTGTCCCGGAGTGCATCGTGCCAAACCCCACCACCACCATCAGTCCCCGTCTATCCCATGTCTAACCCCACTCTTTGCCGGTACGGCGTAGCTGCGCAGCTACTCTTCCCATTACCCTACGGATCGTTTACCGTGTTTACGCGCATCCCTTACCAGCCTAACGAGTAAAAAACACTGATTCTTTTTATTTTTCTTTCTCTTTATATTTATTTTCTTCTTTTTTTTTTATTATTTCTTTTTATTTTATTTTATTTTCGTTAAAAGCAACAACACCGATATTTCTGTGGTATTAATTTACGTTTATACGCTGTTTTTAGAAAATATGTTTTTAAAGGAAACAGTTTGAAGACTGAAATATGAGAAATATAATTTGTTGTTGTTAAGAAAAATTCTAAACAAATAAATTGTCGTGAACGTTATGAAAGAAATTATTATGAATAAATATTTTCCCTATCTCTCTTAACACATATTTTTTTAAAATAATATACGTTACAATGATAGCGTTATACATCGTTAATATTATTAAAATAATAAACAGTGTGTTATAATTCTAATATTGGATTTTCTGATTCTTAACAAATATAGTTGATGGAAAAGTAAAGATTTCTTTTAAGAGAAAAATATTTGTAGCATTTACAATGGGTTTTCCTGTTTCTAGGAAAGCTGGTTAGGTCGATAGGACGAAAATGGACTAGATAAAAATGGTATTCATGGCATGTTCCTCGATTTTTCTTTTTCTCGGAAACACTTTGAACGCTAGTCAGTTAACTTACGTCAGAATCATCAATTTTTCGATTACTTTCACGTCCCGAGATCGTATTAGATATATATCATTTAACTCTCTTTCTTTATCTCTTTATCATTCCATTTTTATTTCCTTCCAAAGCAAAGAAATTATTCCTCTTAATGGATGTTTATCGATATTTACACACGCGCGAGTCATCTTCCAAGCTGGGATGCAATTTTTCCATTCGATTAATCGCCAGAACCATTTTTCTTTTTAATCCGTCGACCATAAATGGGTTACAGCCCCAGCTTTTTCTCTTTCATACGAAAATACTTTAACATACTGTATACTCCTGGATAGGGTGATTCAATGGCTAAAAATGAATAGAAACAGTTTTTTTCTAAAACCATAATTCAACCATGACTTTTTCAAATAAAATTAAACGGAAAATAAATTTAAAAACACGAGTAGTCTTGCTTATATTCTTTAACGAGTCAACAAAATTCGAAGTTTAGTTGAAATGGGTGCGATAAAGATGCACGAAACCATGGTCACGGTTCTTCGTGTAAACTAATTAAGCTTGGTAAACGAAGGAAACTGCGAAATCGTTCCATTAAGATGAAATACCGAGGGAACCTGTAACGGTAATAGGGTTGGTTAATAGTATTAGAGATAGTAATAGTATTAAACGACGCGTGTATGCGTTCGCATGCTGCAGGATACAGGATATACGTGATCAAGCTGTGACGTTAAAACGTTTCGAGATCTATGACGACAATGCAAAAATGAAAAAATTCAGTGACATACTTTCACTCTCTATCTACGATTACTATATATATGGTATATAACTTGCCACGTGATTCGTATCATTGACTGTTTAAAGTGCATATAAAATAAGTCATAAAAAAATTCGTAGGAAAATGTTTCCTTGTTGTTGTAATAATAATAATAATAATAATAATAATAATTATGATAACGATGTTAGTATAAAATAATAATAATAATAATGACGATAATCATCGTGATTCGATCTCACTTCATTTGTGTGCTTGTATGTGTCTGTTTTTTCTAAAGAAAATGAGAAGAAAGTTAGTAAAATTCGAATAAAACGAATCGCTAGTTTCGATAAAAGCAAGGGAAGGAAAATTCTGAGTAAAAACGTGACAATAAAAGTATCAACGATAAAGTAACTAATACATTCTATAAATATTTCACGTGGTGCTTCTGTTTATGTCACCTCACGTTTTGGGCCACCATAAACTTTGTTCAAACTGTCACGGTTCTAAACGTTGCATTCCTTTTCTCACCGTTATGGAGTAGAGCGTGCTGCGGCGACGACATATTAGCAGGCCCATTGTAACCTTGAATAATAAAAGGGAAAAAGGAAGAAGAATGAGAAGAATAAAATGACAAAGAGATGAGACTATTTTATTTCGGGGATTTTTATCGTTTATGGGGCAGGTGAAAAAATACGATCACGTATTAAATGTGATTGTGCGTGTGGTGTACGTGTATGAATGTCTCTCGATATAGAGTTCCCTCCTTCGAATGAAATCTTTTTCTACGCTTTCATTTTTATTTTCGGCATCGTTTACCTTTGAGATCAATCGAAGAATATAGGTTGAATAATCGAAACGTAAAATTGAAATTAGCAACGTTGTCTTTGACGGAATCAATTTGTACGATATCGTTAGATAGATTTGGGTCAGTGAAAATTGGTAAAGAAAAATGGTTGATCCGATTATCGATCTTTGATTCGGAAAGGAATAAAAAAAAAAAATTAAGAACCGAAATAAAACATATCGAATCTCAATAAATCTTGGCAAAGAAACGAGAAGAGTCAGTCGGTCGACTTTATTTACGATCGATTGCGTTCGAAGGTAGCGTGGCATTCGGTCGAGTGCTTCCAAACGAGATATTATAAGCGAACGATGCATTGATCCATGTCGAGAAAACTTGTGTATGTTTATACCTATATGTGCATATGTGTGTAACTGTGTGTATTGACAACGAACAATGCTCTATAGACCTCTCCAATGTCAGTAATGATAGTCGTTTAATATCAATATTCCGAAGGCGTCCAACGACGACACAGAAATGCCGAGAGTTTAAACTCGATCGAAGCTTATGCGAGAATCGATATCTCGATGTTACCAAGACAGCTAACAAAATTTATATCACGGAATATATCTATCTATCTATCCAATTTTTAAGCGCGAATTATTGCGAGATTATTTTTGCCGTTATCTTTGGCCCCGAATAAATGAAATATCGTTCGACCTTTTTTTCGCACGATAATAAAACCAAAACAAAAATATATATTTATATGGGCGTGCATTTCGATAAAAAAAATATTCGCAGGAAAGAGATAGAGAGAGAGAGAGAGAGAGAGAGAGGGAAAATTGACGAAGCTTTAAAAAAAGCTTGACTTTTATCTTTGGCAAGGCAGGCACAGCAACAGCAGTAGCAGCAGCAACGGTAGCGGCGGCATAACGTGGATGAAATGACTTTTTCGAGGTATGCAATGTGGCAGAGTTCTGGCCGTTGGAGCTCCTGAAAATATCTCGACTGGGAGGAACGAGACGCCAGGCTGATTCTCGAATGCAAAAAGACGAGTCCCTCGACCGAAATAAAATTCGCCTCTCTCTCGCATTGGCTGGTTAGTCTCGTTGCAAAATGTAGAACGCGAGTTTGTAACAAGAATTGGTACCTACGATTCTTCGTTAAATTATCGTCGACCCCGGGTCTGGTAATTTCGTTTGAAACAAGGAAAAAAGAAAAAAAGAAAAAAAATTCAAAGGAATGGATAAAAGAGGAGGTGGAAATTTACGATCGAACTTGATCCTCGCGATGCTTTCTCCCTTCGTTAAAAATTTCTTTCTTTGGCCCAAGCAATCCGATAAAAAAGACTCGCGTGAATTTAAAAGGCAATGTTTTATAATCTTCGATGCGCCAGTTTGTTCAACGTCTCTCATTGGGATGCTTTCTGAGTCACGAGTTACACTCACTCAACGTTAGTCACGGACAATTTAATTAGAATTATCTGCCGGTTAAAAGAGAAGGAGGAGGAAGAAGAAGTGGAAAAGGCGAGTACGAGAACGAAATAAATGTTCGAATCGATTTATTTTTCATTTCAAGAATGTGTGCTTCCAATTGACGAAAAATATCAAATCGATTAAATAGAAATAAATTGTTTTCAACAACTTCTACCATTTTTTTTTTTATAATCAAATGAAAAAAAATACCAAAGAAATTACCAATAATAATTGTATTCATTATTTTGTGCTCGTAATTATATCTACAAAAGAGAAAAGTAGGAAAAATATTAATCTATCATCAGACGTGTACTAAAATGGAGAGCACCGGTTAAGGTCTTGGAATGCTAGAAAGTAGGTGAAGAAAAAATATCTTCCAAATTCCGGAAGTTCTTTTCGTAGAATGTGCGGCCAACGATAAGGGCCAATTCGAACGAACAATTTTGCGGCACGAGCAGCACGGCAAAGCGCCAGACAACTTTTACTTTCACCTTTGAGGAAACATACGGGGCTCGTTACGGCAGGCTAACTTTATGCCACGATTATAATGTGCTGATTAATTTCGAAATAGTCTATCGAAATATTTTCTTTGTTTTAATTTTATTTTTATGCGTGTACGTAGCGTTAAATCGTATAATTAAGTTAATTCGCGAAAATGCTAGATTTTATGCGACCAAATTAGGCATTTTTGTGGGAAAGTATATAAAAAGAATTGTATTGTACACTTAAATTAGTTGTTTTTGAAAATAACCAGGTATTATATGAATTTGCATGAGACAAGTAGTTAAAGTAAGAAATTGAAATTCGATCCGTCTTTAAGGTCTGCCTTTCTTTCCTATTACAACGATGAATTTGATATTTAATATGTTAACGCATATACATACATAACTGAAATGGTGAACGCAAGAAGTGAAGTTATTAATATGTATAATAATTATTATATAATTGTGAGATATATAATTACGGTGTATCACGCTCGAACACTGAAACAAAATAATGCGAATTAATCCTACCAACGGAAGTAGTACGTTTTAAAGTACGAAATAGTATAGTCGGTATACAATAGATGGTTATTGATAGCTGCTTCTAGATCACGCTTGTGCCTAATTTTGATTGGTTTGCATCGATCGCGATCAGCACTATTTCTAACAGTAACGTTCAAGCATTGATCAAGACAACAGTCGTCGTGATACTTTGGCAATTAGGCAAACTATTTTACGGAGTTTTTATCCTCATCA